CTGTGGTTTTCACACCTGATGACGATTGCTTGCGTTGCAATCGAAACGTCGTGAGAGCTTTATTATTTTATTTTTTATTACTTCCCTTCTACGTAACTATTACCGAAATAATCAAGAATATATGAATCTCTGCAGTCACGAAAGCTTTAAATCGAAACAATTATGCAGGTATTATTGAGCCGGGGTTGTTTGTGAGGCGCTGTATGAATGGCAGGCCAGGGCTAAAGAGGGAAAGCTCTCCCCGGTCCGCAATTAGGTTTTAGTGTCACGTAAAGAGAACGTGGCCAATTCGTTTCTAGTGCAGCACACCGGTGTGTTGGAGAGCATATCCACAACATTTACAATCTGCACGAAGATTGTAAATGTCCGAGAGAAAATCCCCAACATGTACAACCTGTACGTGACAACCCTTACTAATTGGCTGCGTCGAGGGGTGACGGTTTTAACGACACATTGATATTTACGCGATCTAACTAAAAACAAAACTCAATTATGCCTCCACAAACTCGGCCCAACCAACACAGCCGAGCCGGTTTCTTGACAAAAGCCGATGGCGTGGACCTTTTGAGAGTTTTCTGTTTTGAACTCGCTCCTAATCTGCTAAGTGATCAGTAAATAAAAGGCTTATTTCGCAGCGGTGTTTATTTTAACTGAACAAACGAGGAGATGCCGGGGCGCTCGTCTGCCGATGGCTTGGGGCATCAATTGTAACCTATGAAGGCTCAGAGCAAAGGTACTTTTACTACACCCAATAGTAACTATGTCACACGATTTTTGTTCCTGGGTAGTAAGTGTTATTTTCTAATTGCTTATGCCTCAAAAATATAGAAAATGGATGTTATTCCCCAAAAACTTTGCTTTTGTGACCAGGACTTTATGTGAATGAATGACACAAATGCACACCACGTTTTTTCATTGAAAAATAGGTACATTTCAAAATACCACTGTCCTGGTCGCAAAAGCAAAGTTAGTGGGGAATAACAGACGTTTTCTGTACTTTTGAGGCATAAGCAATTAGGAAATAACACTTACTACCCAGGAACACAATAAATGTGTTACACAATGTTATTAATGGAGTGAATTATTAACGTTGCTTTTGTGTCCTGGTCACAAAAGCAAAGTTTGTGGGGAATAATAGCCACTTTCTGTATTTTTGAGGCATAAGCAATTGGAAATAACACTTACTACCCAGGAACAAAACAAAAAAATTGTTACACAGTATAACCATCATTCATTGGGCTCTTGCGGCATGCGAATTAACTTGAGCTCTCTCTCTGTCTATTCTTGTTTGTGCCGATATGTGCGTCGATGCGTTTGCAACTGGGCTTTGATGTGTCGCTCTGCTATTCCATATCCTCCACGTTGCTCCAGGGATTGGCGCACTTGCTCCGACCATGCTTAACGCTGTAGCAACACCGTCCCCTGGTTGCTATACATTGAAAACTCGTGCCTTTATCACTGCTGTTTGTGTTCAGTGTTGTTGTTGTACCCCCGCACGTGCATACAGGCCAATAATGATGAGTGTACAGTGCAGTACTGCACATGAGATTTTTCACATAAATGTACACATCTATCGATATTTTTTTATAAAAGTGTACCAGTATTTCGTATTACCTTGCTCTGTTGAAGTGACTTGACCTTTTGAAAAGTAAACCTCACAGACTTTCCACTCGTTTCACTGTAGAAACATCGCTGTTCAAATGTTGTTCGGAGTTGTGTTGGATGATGGGTTGTTAATTGATGGTGGCCTTAACACAGACGTCGTAAATGTAACCGTCATAAACCGGATGTAATGTTTCCCAAACTTGAAATCATAGTTCTTTCCTGATATTTAAATAGACATTAAATCAATGCTCAATTTAATGTTTCACAAATGTAAAAAAATATGGGCGGAGTAACTAACTCACACTTGCTCCATTATAATAATTCAAATGTATAATGTGCATTCCATCCTAGGATCCACAATGTGCAATTCATGGGAAGCAGGAAACAAAAACAGAACTAGGGCCAACCGACCAAGCGAGAGAGGGAAGAGGGAATGCCACTTTAAAGAGATGGGTTTTCAAAGCAGACTTAAATATATCTACCGACTCCGATTGCCTGATTTCAAGTGGCAAGGCGTTCCAACATAACTTGGGTGCCACGCTAACAAAAGCCCGATCACCAAAAGAGCGCAACCTAGACCCTGGGAGTGCTGAGCAGTTGGAGATCCGAAGATCTTAAGGACCTTGATGGAATATATAAATGTATTAGTCCCTGGGTGAGCCCTTTTAAAGCCTGTTAGGTTAATAGCAGTATTTTAAAATCCACTCGGAATTTGACCGGTAGCCAATGAATGGATAAGAGGACTGGTGTAATGTGCTCACGTAGTGGTGTACGTGGTGTAAGTACTCTAGCAAGCTGCATTCTGAACAAGCTGGAGTGTGCCCATTACTTTGCTCAGTATCCCAACCAGTGAGGCGTTGCGGATAGTTGAGTCGGGATAACACAAAAGCATAGACCACTTTCTCCAAGTCAGCAGGTGACAGGAAATGATGCATTATGGCAATATTTTATCGGTGCAAAAATTACATTTTAACCACCTTCGATATATGTGCCTCAAAGGATAATGACTGGTGAAACCGAACCCTGAGGTTTCTGACCTGTGTATGAGATGACGTTATCTCCATTCTCTGACTACCTCTTCCGTGGGATGTTGAATAGTTGCACCACTCCGTGACTCTGAACGGACAATGCAGAAACTTTCGAGATGTGGGTTTCTCATGAGTTTTGATTGGATTACACATTGGGCATAGTATATGCCATTCAGGGTGTGGCGCATTTCTTGATAAAGGAGAAATACTTGCAAAATGCTATCGTGGTGACAACTGCCTTCACATGCACACTGGGATGTGAGGGCGTATTTGGTTTTATGTACACGTGTCAAGTGATTGACACGCTCCATAAATAAGCCCCACATTGTATTCCAAAGTGGCACGTAACATTATTGGGCTACGTCAGCAAAGGGCAGTACAGCAACATCTATTGTACTGTGCTGTGTTCTCCGCCGTAACCAAACCCATTCTAACCAGTGTGGTGAAGTATGATAATCTAATCTTGACAACTCGCACCATATGGGAAGACCCTCGTTCTAGCAGTGGATTGACAAAAGGGCTGTACAGTTACACATGTATTATTAGGGTGATTTAAAGATTTTCACACAAGTTGCTTAAGTTCCGGAACGGCCCAGCGGGGGGGATCTATGCGAGTTAGGCTTTGACAACAGCTGGCGTGACTGGGGGGACGGTAGACACTGAAGGCATTCCCAGTAGAGCAATCGTTAAAGACGCCACCAAGGTGCCGGCCGTAAATCTTCGTGATGGCTGTGCGCTATTAAATGGGCCACACGCGTGAATGTTGTTGTGCTGCCAACGCCTTTAAAGTGGAAATCGTCAAACGCACTTTAAAAAAAGTCACGAGATGGACCGTCTCAGTCAAAAAAATTGCTGCACAATTTAACTAGTATTAAACATAAACTGATAGTAAAAGGTACAGTCTAGCAATTCCTCACTCCACTCCACTGCTGGTGGAAGTGCCGTGGCTAGAGTGCTAGAAATACCTCCCTGGAGAGGGCATTTTTGGTCTACTCTTACACAGTTACCAGACATCTTGGAAGAACATTAGCTGATACCGGAGCCTAAAAACATGCCTGGGATGCCTCCTAAATCTACGTAATGCCCTAGCCCCTGAAGTAACGAGATTTGCCAAATAATGTTTGCTCGGGAAACCCAGAAAGTCGCTGCTAAGCCGCTGAGTTGGCTAGCTCGAATGTTGGCAGGTTTATCGGTCTGCAAGCTATTTTAGTTGCTGGATACTATAGTTGTCATCTTGTTCATGCATTTTTTGGAGTAAAAAAAATTCTGGGTGGACATGAGAATGTATCGTATGTATACGTTTTCCTGTGCTATGCATTGTTGCACGTCGTCCAGTGACATGCCCTGGAGCCTTTGTGTGGGTGACAAACCCGTAGCGTGGACAGTAACTTAATATCGCCTGCTCAGCGTGACTTGTATTTGTGCGTCTTTACGATGTAGCACAGTTGTCGCGGCCTCTGATTTAGGGAGACCACTGCACGGTTGCATGTGTGAAGCTCTGTCCCTGAAATGGTTGCTGGGTTCAGAAGAAAAAAATAACAACTTAAATAAACCTTTGTTAATTACTGTGTTTGTCATTGCAAGGGTGTGTGAAGTTGAATGTTCACAGTTTACGTGTACAGACCTTTTCTATTCTATTCATATAGGATTTATATTTATATAGCGTCCTTTTGTCAGCCCACTGCTGGAAGAGGGCCTTGCAGGTCATGGTGGATTTTACCGTGCTTCACCGCACTTGTCAGTGTGCTTTGTTGAAAGTGGGGAGTATATACGTACGGTGCAACAATGCATTATGTGCACTGCCCTCTGCTGCCCACCATCCAGACACTGTCCAGGCTGATCCCAACTCGGCTTACGAAATCTGGATAATTGAATCCGTGGGTAGACCGTTTATTTATGGATTTACCAACCCACACTGTCCAGTACACTTAGGCATTGCTTAATAACACACCCACAAGCCACACGGCATGGGAGAGCCTTCATCCTATAAATATACAGTATTAGGTGGGGGAGCGGTGCTGTCACAGTGGTTAGTGCACTCTGGAATTAAGTAACAAGTTCAGAATTGCATGGTGCCAGAAGATAACGTGTGAAAACAAAAACCAAAACGGCTGGGGATTGACACCGGCCGGTTCAGCACAGCGAGCATCAGTGACCTACAACGGGGCGCGCAAGCGTCACAACGGGGCGCGCAAGCGTCACAACGGGGCGCGCTAGCGTCACAACGGGGCGCGCTAGCGTCACAACGGGGCGCGCTAGCGTCACAACGGGGCGCGCTAGCGTCACAACGTGGCGCGCTAGCGTCACAACGGGGCGCGCTAGCGTCGGTCCGCGTGTTGAGCGACGCGTGCCGCGCGCGGCGTGCAGGGTGCGCTGGCTCCAGGATGTGAGCGGCAACAAGCAGCATTTGGACAGCGCCATGGGCAGCCTGCGCTCGTGGCTCGCCTGCATGGAGGCCACGCTGGCGCAGCCCATCATCTACCACGACTTCGAGGCGACCGAGATCCAGCTGAAGCTGGCGCAGCAGCAGGTACGTGCTCGGGCACGGGAGCCGGCGGCGATGGCATGGCTGACCTCTCGGCGCCGCACGTTCGTTCTCCTGCTCGGAGGTCGCTAGTTCTTGCCGGTTCGCAGTGAGCGCCGGCTATTACACACAGTACAGCCACGCAGATTCTCATAATTGAAAATACGAGTTGGCAGCCCGTCATTTGGACGGGGTGACGTGATGCTCGCGTGACCCTCGCTTGACTCTCGCTTGACCCTCGGGCATTAACTCGCCTAGCACCACTCACTAGCAACTCACCTGACCCTCACAATTCAGCTCGTCTAATACTCACCTGACCCTTGCCCCTCATCAACTCACCTGACACCAGTCATCAACCATGTGTCCCTTCACCGCTCTCCGTTGTGTGATTTTGAAATGGGGTTGCGGGGCTCACGTCAGACGCCTGGCTATAATTTCAAATGGTTGAGCCTATTGGCAGCCCTGGAATCGTGAAGCCAACTTATCAAGTCAGCGGTCAATGTCTTAAAACAAATTGACTTGTATTATGAGCTTTCATTCCTCATTCAATCATAATGGTTGCGTGGTCTTGGACTTCTGTGGAAAATTGGGAAAGTATGACTCGCGTACTCCAGGGTAAATCAGCAGGCATCAATGGTTGGGTGCTGAGCCAGTGGTGGAATTTTGGCAGACAACCCCTCCGTACAGATGCCCGTTGTTGACTTTCCAGAAAGTGGTGATTATTATCATTGACCCCACAGGGATTACGATAATAATCGGGAGGCTGATGGTGGTCACTGCATTTATTATAAGGGTGGCGATGATAATGACGATGATAATTATCATGATGGTGGTAAGGGGGATGATGATGAGTAAGGTTGATTAATGGTCATGACAGTGATGATCCATTATAGCGATGGTGATAATGGTAAGAACGGTGTGATGATGATCATTATAATGACGATGGTGGTGGCCTGATTCGACCCCCCGACCATGCGGTGAACTTGCTTTCCGCTGATCGTGAGACACAATGCACCCTGCCCACAGTGCCATATGATCCGATTTCATACAAAATTGACTCGCATTGAGCTAGCCCACTGGGCACCACCCTGAACTAACAGTGGAAAATGAAGCCGGCTGTAAATAAGTGACATCATCTACCAAACACAACACCACCACCAGCACCTGTACGCCCATATGCACTTCGTGCCCTGCGTATGCCGGCCAGGCAAACATGAAGTATCCAAAGGGCACACAGGTGTGCAACTGCTGATTGTGCCATTTTATGGTCCCCGTTTGCTACCTCTTGTGAGGAAAAATATTCGGGCGGTGGTGGCTATGCACGTGGCAATGTGGAAGCGGCAAGGGTTGGAGATTTGCGCAAAAGTTACGGAGCTCCCTTCCCGTGGGCGTCGAGGAGGTGCCCGTACCCTGACTCGCCAGGAGAAGGCGTGTGGCCTAGTTGCCATCCATTTCCGTCTGTACGGGGATAGTGTTCCCCCCATTGCACGTGTGGGTTGCCTCCGGCTGTTCCGGTTTCTTCCCACTCGTGTAAACACTCAGGAATTAATTGTCTGAAAACATCTTAAAGTAAAAAAAAACCAATGCAACAGCAGCAGGAGGATCACTCCTGAAAACGAGTCCTAAAAACTAGCGTGGCTCTGCTGGGTCATTAAGTAAATGAATCATTCAATAGAACATTGCCTACGGATCATCATTATCATCAGCAGCTTCAGCCATGGTCAGTCCACTGCTAGGTGAAAATCTGCCACCAACTCTCACAATCCTGCAATGTAACAATCCACCTAACACCACCACATGAACTGATTTAATCGCTCAATCTCCTCTATGGACGTCATCTCTGGGACATTCCGTTGCTAGGCTGCCACTGTTATTATTCGAGTGTAGCTCATGACCGTCAGACACAGTGGTTGCAAACATGTCTATGAACAAATATTTGGTGGTCTAACTTTATTCAGTACTCAAAATAACTCTCAACCAACAAATCTACAAATCGCACCAAGACAAAAAAAATGCCACACTCGGCACTGGTAGACTTCAGATGCGTTTTTAAGACCTCAATCACTGAATTGAGGTCTCTAACCTAACATTCACTGGCAATGAAAACCCACCCCAGTGAAGCTGAGGAACACAGTAGGTGTTGTTTCTCTGCTCTGTTGCAAAAATAAGCCAAGCAAATCAGGACCCTTGAAGATGGTCCATTGTATTCTTTCTTGAGAGGGATTGAAGACGCACCCATTCGACATGCTTGCATTCCTGCAGGAGGCCTTACCTTCAGTCATATCATGGCCAAGTTTCCCAAATCACACTGACCAGCATCCAAACCGCCTCTCAAAGCGGCAGCCTTGCCAATACAACCCCAAAACACCAGTCCAAACCACCCCACCATGAAATAAAGCCACCATTGCGGCCTCTTGGATGTGGCCATGCTGATATATTTTATAAACTTTCACGGGGTGGGGCATTTTATAATAGGCAGATTACGATTTTTAAGAGCATCGAAAGGCTGTGAAAATTGCGTAGATTAGTATTTTTAAAGGAAAGGTGTAAAACGATGGAAGGAAAACAAACAGGTTGTGTCGGGGAGTAGGTGGGGGGCTGAGAGAGGGTGGGAGACAACGAGCCCAGCGTGGCACAAGCTCGCTCACCCGTTGGCTCATTCGATTGCGCTGGGGCGTAGTCGAATGCCACGGCGCGGATGGAGGGAGGAAGTAAGGGGTTGGCGACGCAGAGGGGGTTGGGCGTGGGAGCCAACCTGCACCTGTATCCACGTGAACAGTATCCCTAGCAGCCGGCTTGGCTCGCTATTCCAACCGCCCGAGGAGGGAGAGTGGGAGAGCGAGCGAGAGAAAGAGAGGGGGGCGCACAGACGTGGCCGAGTGTGACAAGACTGGCGATTCTGCGTTGGGATGAAATTAATTGTGGATACGGCCATGCGACGACATGGTGCCTGGAGCGTACTTTGACTTGAGTGCATCGTAGCTTCGGGGCAAGTTGGGATTCGCCTGCAGGTACGGTAGTGAGATGTTGCCTCTGTTTGCTTATGCTGTACGGTAATTGTTGCGCGTGTGTTTTAATGCGGGCTGCATGTATGCGTGTGGTGGCAGGTAATGGTTGCCCCTTTGTACTGAATGCTTGGTAAATTGGTCGCAGTAATAATAATAACTATGATGTCATGGAAAAAGGGCCATTGAGATGCTTGCTCTGTGTAATAGCTAACATTTACAAGACATTAACAGTATCCTGTGAAAGTCATTATACGTGTTGAAAAATATAATAACTTAAACGTACAATCAGAAATCAATCGGCAGAGTGGCTCACAATTGGAAGGTTTCCAGTTAAAAGCCCGGTTGGGGGTCAACTCAGTCCATCATCTCTCCGGGGCCAAAATGAATAGCACTTTGCGAGCAAGTTAAAAGTGGTTGTCCTATGGATAGGTTCACCCCCGCCATCATAATGTGGAATTTCCACCACTGGCCTAGGGCTGCATCGAGTAGATGAGCACTACCTCAATGCTCATTTGGAATCACTTCTAACCTTTTTTTTCTGGCAAGCAGAAAAGCAATCAAAATGAAGTGTCGAATTCTGACTACCGTAACGTTTGCATATATAGCAAAGTTAATGCTTCCTTACGGCCTCTCAAAGTCCCTTATGACGGCTGCACGTTGGATAGTAAACAGTTTGAAGTGGGGTTTTTTTCTCTCCCCGAATCGCCCTGCCTGTGCGTGACGCTGGTCACGTCCGTCACGCGAGCGTGGGCTTGGTGCCTTGACACTCGTTCGGTCAGCGAGGAGTGAGCTTTTAGCATTGGGGCGTGAGTGAACTTGGCCTGTGGTGTGCACACGGCCTTGTTAAGGGAGTGTACTGTCCCGGCACGATTTACAAGGGAGACGTTAGAAAAACGTTTGAAACGCAGCATTACAAAACCCCGCAAATTCCCATCAACTGAAATGCATAAACATGGGTCTTTTAAATGCATATTTAAAATCTATAAATCATTCATGCGTCGTTTTTTGAAAGGCGAGTCTCGATCGATCAAAGGTGTGTTTGTGCGTAATTATATTCGGCACCTTTTAAATAATGGAAGACTTGTGAAGCGCGTCGAGATTTGTTTGTCTTGCCGAGGGATGGGGTTGCATGAAGGCGAATCGCATTGCTAGTCAGTGACCACGTAATAGCGGGACCCCCCCCCCCCCTTCTTACAATGAGACACCCAAGCTCTTTAAGCCGGCAAGAAGGAAAATCGGACCTTTCTCTATTGAGCTGCCGAAACAGGTGCACCATTGCCTCCAGAGCGTGTTTGTGCAATCACGCACAGGGATTCTTTTGTGAGGTGGTATTTGATTTGGTCCCACTGCAATGTGATCTTATTACTCTTGTGGCCTGCACACGCTTACATAAGGGCCACTGTCGCATCGCAAATCTGTGCAGTCCTCTTTCAAACTGTACCCCGTTTCGAACTGTCCCCAGTGAATTCAAGAGCATAAACAACGGGTAGCAAGTCATGTGCTCTCGTGTGAAATACAGCCGAGGTTCCTTCTCAAGGGACTTTGTCTTCCCCGAACTAAAATCCACACGGACTGAGGTTTTGCTATTAGGCTATTAAGCCTTGTCTAGGGGTACCATAGTTCTTTTTTCGCAAGTGTTTTTCTTCGTCTCTGTGTTCCCACATGACGGTGAACAGTTTTCATCGTTCAGAATGCCAGTGTTAGTTTTTGTTTGCCATTCCCTCCTAATTAATTGATGTTGTGATACAATTCCGATATTGAGATTGGAATGTTGATAGAAAAAAGGAAAACAAATGCAGATTCACCTTTGGGATCTCAGCGGTACTGGCTCAGGGATTTGACACTGTTAGACTTCTGCTTCTCTTAACTAAATATTATTTTGTTGTCGTAAACATCTGGTGCTGACTGGAAGTTGGTGCCCAGGAGGAGGGATGAGGCTGCGCAGCTCGCCTCGCTGGTCCGATCTCTCTCCGCCTGCCTCCCGCAGGAGCTGCAGAGAGACATTGAGGAGCACAGCGCCAGCGTGTCGTCGGTCCTGGGCGCGTGTGGGGCCCTGCTGCAAGACTGCGACGCGTGCGCCGGCAAGGCGGAGAGCGAAGGTCTGTCGCAGGCGACGCGCGGACTCGAGCGGCGCTGGAGGAACATCTGCGCCACAGCCATGGAGCGTCGGCTCAGGTGGGGCTTCCGTTCGTCCCGCGCCAACCCCTGAGCTTGGGAAGAGCAGTCACAAAGTATGAAGTGCAGTGGACTGGAGGATTTTTTTGGGTAATAGGTCGGAGGGACTGCACAGATAAAACTAAAATGTAGATAATGCCAAAGCTATTTAAATCTAGATGTACTTTTTTTGTTGTTGCAAAACTAGCACTCCCCGTGCATTTGCGTGGGATACACATTGGGGGTGGGGGTATGGGGGGGGGCGTGACGTCAGTGTGATGCAGGAACCCGGCTCGACGCTGTAGGATGCAGTGACGTGGGTGGTGACATCACCACCGTGCACTTGCCTGCCCATGCGCCGGCCAGACAGCCAGCTAGCCAGCAAAACTTTTTTTAGTTTAATATAGTATGACATTTCACCTGGACAATCACTTGAGATGGGACATCTTATTTGCACACCATCAATCGATACTTAACATATTTTATTTTGTGCCCATGTAAAATAAGAGTGACCGACGCAGAATACATCATCTGTTTTAATTGTATTTTTTAAGTTATCTATTTACTTGCCGACGTGTTTGCAGTCATTTAGGCTCTGAGTCACATCGACTGTGAATCATGTAATAACAATTAAACCAGCATGCGTAAAGATTTCGTTTTTCAAAAGGTCCACGTGGACGGACTTGTAAACCCGCTTCTTATACTGCCATCTTGGCAACTCGGTTTTTACAAATCTGTGACCCACTAACCTTTGCCTGCAAAGTGCTGCTTCTCTTGAGAACCTTCCCAAATTTCAAAGCCCATTAATTCTGAGCACTTTGAATTGTGGCACTTTTTTCTGGTGAAGTGCAGCACAATTTGGAAAGTTTTTACAGGCAAATAAAAGTGAAATGTTGGCAACTGCACCCCCATTGAGCCTCGCTATAACAGCATCGTGTTGTGCGAACCGTGTCCAGACCGTTTTAATTAATGCCGTGTTCACGACTGCACACACTGCTGTTTTGGCCACAGAGAGGTAACGGAGCTGCTGGGCACAGCGTGTACCTGGCCGTGTTGTTAATCGGGGCCGCGATGGAGTGTGGTCACAGATCACAAAGAGGAACGAAAGCTGAGCTCTCTCGCCATTCAGGTTTACCTTGGAGGCACGAGCAATGCTTCAAGGGATCATTGCTGCTCTGTTACATCCAGTTGTGTAACAACCGGTTGCCACTCATGCCAATAGGATGTCAGTCCACTGCTGGATGAAGCCCCCTTCCACATGGCGTGTCGGTGGTGGGGGTTGTTTGACAATACTACCCAAAGGCTGGTCCCTGTGAGTTGAGAAGGAGTCGTCGTGGGGGGTGGTGGGTGTCCAGGACGGTTCAGATATTGCCCGCCACTGATGTTGGCCGAGACCAGGATTTCGAACTCTGTTCACCAGGTTCTAAGCAGCGCATTAACCAATGTGTCACCACTCCACTCTTAATGTTTTATTGCTCGTGGTATTTTAATGGCTGGAGCGTACGCTATCTATTGCGTTTAACAAAAACATTGAGAACCGATAGTGGTTCAAAAGACATCGTAAATAAAATATATTATTTCCGTATTTGCAAAAATTCGAGAATCAATTTTGTAATATATGTTTAACGTGATGGGCAGCAGAGGGCAGTGCAACAAAAGCTACTTTTGCGCTGCATATGCAACCAGTGCTGTTCATATTCCCCAACCATATCGACCAGCAGGGTGATCTATGGTCAAATAGCACGACGACACGGCATAGGGAGGCCCTCATTCAGCATTGGATTGACAAATGGGCTGTATGTGTACATAGCTGTTTAAATTGTGCATTTGAATTGGCGCCAACATATTATGACCCTACTCCTGCGAATGACGGTCAGTTTCTTTAACATCCGTTTTACTCCAGTCCGTGCCTTTTTAGTGGAAATGCCATCTTTGCACAGCAGGGGTAATTGAACCCGTCAATTCGAATGCAAATGGTCCTGTTGGTGAGATAGCAGAGTACTTTACTGGACAAAGAGGTGGCCTCTGCCAGCTGCCACAGCACATGATAGGGGGGCCGTGGGGGGCAGGGTCCAGCAAGTCGCACTCTAGCGCAGCCACTTGCGCCTGCGCAATGCGGAGCGCGCCTCTCTTCGTCGAGTGCCCTCTCCTCGAGGGCTCTAGCCTACCGGCTCGCTCACTCACTCGTTCACTCGCTGCAACTGTAGCGAGGAGGCGGCGGCGCCGATCGTGAAGCGCGCGGACCCATACCGGGGACAAAAATAGAAATGATATGCCGAAAATCTAGGTGATTTTAATTACAATGCTTTTACAATACAATTTGGATGAGTATAGCGTCTAAATACAGCTGCACCTCAAGATGGTGTACAAAACAGTGTTACATGCGCTTGTAGATGGTAATATATACATATATATTCTAGAGAATAGATCGTCAGTAGCTCTAGCTGCTATACATGGACATTTCTATAAATTTTTGGTGACTGTTGCCAAGTCACCTTTTATTTAGTTTTTGGAGTCTTTGATCACCCCCTTGGATGTAGGTGCTGTGGGTATGGTACGTGCTGCCCCCTGGTGCTCACCCGTGTGCCATATCGGGTGCGTGCCCCGTTACCCGCGCCCGCTGGCAGGATCGAGGACACGTGGCGGCTATGGCAGAAGTTCCGGGAGGACCACACGCGGTTGGAGGAATGGCTGGTGGAGCTGGAGCGCACGGCCGCGTCGCCGAGCTCCTCCTTGGTGCTGTACACGCAGGCCAAGGAGGAGCTCAAACGCTTTGAGGTGCCCCCCCCCCCCCCCCGCTCTTCAACCGTGGGTGCTCGTGAGCACTCGTCACTCTACAAGCACGGATTTTAAACCGCACACGGTCATCAATAATCGACGCACGACAGCCGCACCCATTCTACTGGTTGTATTTCAACCTTTCAACAGTGGTGGTCATAGGAAGAGGAGGGGCATTATAAGTATTATCTAAGTCAAATGTTTCCTGAGTGCATAGGGCAGCGCTTGTTGCTCTTGGTAAAGAGGGAAGCAGTCGCGATGGCACCATTGATGAGTTTATCAGCGACGCCGCCAGCGTCAGCATTGCCGGCGATCGCGATAGAGCCGGTGCTGATGCCCGATGTCCCCTGCCTGCGATCACCACCACCCCCGCTACCCCTCTCCTCATCCAGGGCATCCAGCGGCAGGTGCACGAGAGCCTGACGCAGCTGGAGCTTGTCAACAAGCAGTACCGACGGCTGGCGCGCGAGAACCGCACGGACGCGACGTGCTGTCTGCGTCGCATGGTGCTCAGCTGCAACCAACGCTGGGACGATCTCCAGCGCCGTGTCGCCGCCATCCTGCGCCGCCTCAAAGTGAGGGCACGCCAAGACGCGGACCGCGCGGTCGCGTCGCTCGCTTCTGGTCCCGGGCTGAGATACGGCCCTTGGGCAAGGCCAGCGCTGAGCACACAACCACGGCGACTGCTCGTGGGTTGTTGTTTTTTTTGCATCTTGTTGGAATCGGTATACGCTTTATTTTTGTAAAAAGTGTGAGAGAATAGGGGAGGGATGAAGGCGTTTCACTCAGAATGACACTCACGGGCCTTGTGGTCTGCTACCCGTGCTTTTTCCCCGAGTTCTCTGAGATGCGCTCGCCCAAAACCTTCTTCCTGTCTCCCTGCCTCGACACCACACCCGGACAGCACTTTGTGAGCCAGCGCGATGAGTTTGAGACGACGCGCGAGAGCCTGGTGGTGTGGCTCACCCAGATGGACCTGCAGCTCACCAACCTCGAGCACTTCTCCGAGTTCGACCGCGAGGTCAAGCTGCGCCAGCTGCGGGTGAGACGCCCGCACCGTCCCATCATCTGATCACGTTTCCTTGAATCAGCCGTGCGGTAGGATCGTCTTGATTTCCGCCTTTTGGCATCTGTCTTTTTTTCTGCTTCACAGCGAAGGTTGAAAGTGCTTATGCGCTATCCCTGCCCATCTATCTGTCATAAGCAGGGTTCGCGATAAAACTTAACTGATATAAAATGTATCAAAGGGTTTACCATCACAGTACAAAAATCCATCACAAATAGATTAGCCTTTTCTGCCAAGGCGATGGCATCACGCTCGATGCGCCTGCCTCATTTCTCCATGACTTCATTGGGTGTGACGTCATGTTCGCGACGTCACGTACCACGCGCCGTGTGACAACATCTCGTCGTGCGGCTTGGAAGGTAACGTAATCGCGAAAAGAAAGTCCGCACTTTGGAAAGCGTTGCACGGTCCGTGCGCGTGCACGACGTTCCATCCTCGTTTGCGATTGTCACGGCCCGCAGGCCTACCAGCAGGAAATCGAGCTGAACACAGCACGCATCGAGGAGCTCATCACTCACGCCGAGGAGCTGATCCAGAAGAGCGAGCCGCTGGATGCCGCCGTCATCGAGGAGGAGCTGGAGCAGCTGCGGCGAGATTGGCAGGACGTGTTCGCGCGCGTTGAGCGATATCTCACTCGCATCCACGGCCTCCTGGTGAGCGGTGCTCTCTCTCGTCGGCACGGGCGGGCGGGCGGCCGGGCCAGACTTGTGCCCCACAGTCGCGGTCTGGGGTTATTCAGGAGAGCAGTGTGAGGTCCACCGCTGTCCGTACATCAGACAACACTGGATATACAGATCAGCCACAGCACCCTGGGGCTACTTTGTGGGCAGCAGAGGGCAAGCAGAAAATGTATGGTTGTATACTATGGTCCTACATTTGTGCTCAGTGCATTCACTAACCAGGAATAGTAAAACACGAACTCTCGCATGGATGGCCTTTCGTGGCTAGCAGACCTCAACATTACTCATTGGTTTTTTCGGTAAAGTGACGTATGTAGAAATACAATAAAATTATATTAAAACAAAAAACAATCACGACGTTTCGATCACAATGCAAGCGATCTTCATCAGGTGTCAAGAACAAATCACGGAGGTAAATACAACAAAAAGATGAGAGACAAGAATCAACAAACCTGAACAAACATTATGTGAAGCACATCCAGTCAGGCCAACAACACATAATGTTTTTTCAGGTTTGTTGAATTCTCGTCTCTCATCTTTTTGTTGTATTTACCTCCGTGATTTGTTCTTGATACCTGATGAAGATCGCTTGCGTTGTGATCGAAACGTCGTGATTGTTTTTTGTTTTAATATAATTTTATTGTATTTCTACATACGTGACTTTGCCGAAAAAACCAATGAGTAATTTTATGCAGTCACGAAAGCTTTAATGCTTTAAGACCTCAACATTGGCGTTTATCTCCTGAACACATTTTACATATGCAAGGGTTAGTATAGAACCAACCTACCCTGAGCAGCATGGTGAAGTATTGTCAAATAATCCCCATGACCTTCACGGTGTGGGCAGGCCCTCATCCAGCGGTGGATTACCAAAAGGGCTGTACATGTACAAAACCACCGCTTGATAGATAGACCATCCATGCACCATCAAACACTCGATATGTACAAACATCATACATGTACACCAGCCACAAGCCACCCACATATATAAGCTGTCCAGTACCAGCCACATGATCAGTCATGTCAAAGTGTCTCCCTGTTAATTGCTCTTGTTAATCCTGATCTAGTGGTGGAAATTCCACATTCCTATAATGGGGACCTTTTTCTTTTACCACTATACATGTGCATGGACATCCCTGTTTGTATAGTCACATGCATGCTTGAGGTTGAATTGCATGCTGTGATGGTGTCATTGTCACCTAAAAAACACTGTCGATGAAGGCAAGGCCGAGACCAGCTGAACTCTCCTTCCCTCGTTATATCTCAACGACTCGCGCATGGAGAACGATGGTGAGGGATGAAGACCTTGAAGTGGGATTGGATTCGATCCAATGGGAGTTTTACCTATGCACCTTTTCTTGGGCAATGAACTTGTTAATACAAAGTTAAGCAAAAAGGGACGACTGCTGAGATGCGTGCGCGTTAAACTGAACACCGCGCCGCCGCCACATGGTGCAGGTGGTGGTGACGGACGATGACGACGATCAGTCGGACGCCGAGACGGAGCCGGAGGAGCTGGACGGGGTTCCGCCGAGCGTCGAAGGCATGAGCGTCGGCGTTGCAAACGCCCCGATCGTGGGCTCGGTGGGCGATCCGTGCCTCCTGCGGCCCTCTGCCACGCGCAACGCAGCGCTCGCCCATCCTTCGGGGCGAGACACGCCAGCCAGCCTCGAGTGGGACTACCAGTTTGACATCACCCGCATGGAGGGGGCACCGGAGAGAGGGGAGGACGAGGATGATGACGGGGGATACGATGACGCCGATGGCACTCTTACCGGTACGTGTGGGTCAAAGGTCGGTCAGGTACCAGGAGTCAATAGCGATAGAACACCCTCTGTTTCTTCACAATACTTCCTTAACCACCAAATTGTTGAATGTTGAAACCCGGGTCCCTGTTAAAATACATTGATCTCATTGAATATATGATTACAAGTATGTAAATGTATGCGCATGTCAATATTGTTCTACTCGTTTTGGGTATGAACATGAAAACTCTTAATTGTTTAAAGAAGCACTTCACCAAAGTCTAATGATTAATTATGACGTGATATATCTAACAAGCAAGCCTTATTGAATCTCAGCACTCTTTTTCAGAAAAACCTTGCATTTAAATTATTTGATTCATTCCTTTTTAAGGAGTGATTTCCACGTAGGAGGATCCAAAGCACTCAAAGGAAACCCATGCATACGAGGTGGTAGCACTAAAAAATACAAGCAGATGGATTTATGAACCAACTTTACTCCAAAGCACCTGATTACAGGCATGCACCACTACGCCCTGCTCCTGTGACATCACTGCTTCAAATACAATTTCTCTCGGTTACAGAAAATACATTCATAATAATGATCTGCTTAATGTTCACATGGAACGAGCTGAGCCACACGTTTCAGCTCTGCGTGCACTGCAACATCGTAACGTTGGAAAGTGCAAACCGTTGACATTTTATACATTATCCCTGGGAACGTCATTCATCACAGACAAACCCGTTGAAGTGAAATCGCATGCCATTTTATCGCCGTTTAACAAATACACACTACCCCAAGGCTGTCGACCCCTGGACAAGCGTTCAGGCTGGTACCAGTCGCGCAGCCTCGTCCCCCAGACTCACACGCAGCCTTGCGCTGGGCAGGGCTGCAGGCTGTGTTGACAGCCCAGGACATGAAATTGTGCGGGTTTTGTCCTTTCAGATATAGCTGTCACTGAGACTCATGAGGCCTTCATCGCTCAGACAGAAAGTGTCCTCAGGACATCAAGGGGTATGATGCAAGGCACAGCGGGCGTTGCGCTCTGCATGCTCATTGCCACCCACCGCTACTCGCCCCCACGCCCCCCCGGCACCAGGAAAGCACTTTCCATCCAGCCTCGTGCCTGGCTAGGCAGGTCGGATGGAAATATGCCTGGCAACCTGGCTTCCTAATTCCCATGCTGTGTGGTATCTCATTTCAGAATAACCCCTTGCAGTTTGATAATACAACTTTACGTACGGCCTGTTTACCAGTCACTAATTTCTGCGTCCGTGGGGTTACTGCAGCTGTATGTCAACCACGGTCATCGCTGCTTTTGACGTTGGTTGTCGGTAATCATCGCTGTTCATTAACATCCACTGCCGACGTTACCCTTCGCTCATGCTTAACTGCATCATCGTCTTCGTGATCCATACTGTGAGCTCCAAAGTGGGATAAACTGAATGTGCGATATCAAACGTCTGCGCTCACGACTGGCAACGTAATGTCAAGGTAATCCTGAGAATGGCAATGTCGGAATACTGCATTTTATAGATTTGATGATAATGTAAAATGACAAACGTATTATCTATACTGAAAGCAGCTATCAATTTATATCAGAATTTTTATAGTTTTGGGATCCATAAAATGAGTGTTTAAAATGCATGCGTTGTGGTGTTCTTAATTTTCGTTTGTTCTGGGGAGCTATATTAATCTGCCCACAATTTATGATAAATGCTGACATGGCCAACAGCAAGCATGAGAACATTCCATAACATTTTCAATTTCTTACACATGTATATGTTTTTACCGCATGTTTCTTTTTCAAGACAGCATCTCAGCATTATTAACATTGACCATAGGGAGACCTTCATTTGTTCAGTTGCGCGAGTTCAGCCAATTTACGAAACGTGAACGGACTTCCATTTAACCATGTTGACGTCTACTGTGCTGTGTGGGGGGGGCCTGCGCACGACTCGCCGATGCTGCTGCTGACGGTGACGATGTTGGTGATGGTGACGATGCTTCTGAATTAATGGCAGATGGAAACGGCAACGTCCTTGAGCTCCAGCTGCAGCAGCTGAACATGGCATTGGAGGCCACGCGCTACCACCTGCAGCAGACGGAGCACTTCCTGAGCCGACGCACCCCAACGGGACCGGACCTGGATGGAACCTACGCGCAATACGTGAGTCCGGGGACCCGAGGACTCACCTGAGTCACCACCTCTCGATAGAAACTCCGCGGTCATCACATTAGGGGGGTATCGACAATAATACAGTTGAGATTTACATACCAAACTAAATGTGACCGCATCTCAAGATGCTCTGCAAAAACAAAGTGAGCATGGTTGTTATTTTTTTTAAGGCAGTCGGTAATGGTTACATTTACAAATTACTTCTCATTTCTTCCCTTGTGGCACATGCAAAATGTATTCGTGCCACACAACAAGTCCTAAACATGTGTGAATAGTAAATGATCAGTTATTATAAACATGATTCAATGCATGTATTTTGGTTCCAAATATTATTTTGGTTTAATCAGCATAATTGTTTAAATTGTAGAATTATAACTACCCACCGAGTAAAATCTCACAAAGTAACTGTGACACAACACATTTAAAAAAAATTTCATCGAATTCTGCCGTGATGCCCGGTCAGTTTTTGATGAACAGTCGGATTCATTGCTTGGACAGCTCGAATGCACTGCGGACGCTCTTGACTTACCACATCGTAGCCTAATCCTCTCTTCATGCCGGCCCCAGGGGAATGATGGGCCGAGTCAATCCCCAAGCATGATTTGAACTCGCAGTCTTCTATGTGCGAGCCGCTCCACCTGCCACTGGCCTACCTGGCCGGTGCACTCTTGAGTTTATCGTCGCGAAGATTTTACTCGTCACACTCGTATAACGACTGCTTGAATTCTAAAACCCTGGACCGTGGTGCTACGTGAGGACTGATAAACAGGAATTCTTCGTGTGGCAATTGTGTAGTGCATGGGAACGGTGTGGTGCATGAGAATTGTGTGAACGTGCGGCGTGCCTACCTGTCTCGTGGCCTCGCAGATGCAGCTTTTGACTGAGTGCCAGAGCAGCGTTGAGCGCGTGCGCTGCATGGGCGAGGCCTTGATGGAAGGCCAAGAAGACGGCAGCCACTCCACAGGCCTGCAGCAGCAGCTGTCCGGTACGCAATGTCGTAGCTGTTGAGTGTGAGCAGGTGTTCATCTGCACCAGGACCCCATGGGTTGGACTACGAAGAAGGAGAGGAATTGGACAGCTCCTTCCGCCTCCTCTCTCAACTTGGTTAGACGCGGCAAATCCAGCCACCCAACCAAGTCATGCATTTTTTATTCTCTTATTTCTTTGCATATATGTATTTGTGTGCACGTGTTTGTTTGTGTGTGTGAACCCAGTGACCTGATTTCCATTCTCGCCCATTCCCAATATCAGTGGCCAGTGATATCTGAACCAGTCCCAGGCTTCCCCTAGGTCACCTCAGCCTTAAATGAATACCCGGTGCATTATGTAAACATCGGTGCTGGGTAGATAAACGGGGCCAGGTGTGGTGCTGGCTAAAGCACCCACACGGACACTGGGGGGGGGGAGGGGGGGATGCTGCTAAAAACAATAGCCCCATCATTCTGTAAAGTCTTACGGTGATCTTTGTTTTCTGACTTGCATGCGTGTGCCTGTGTGGCGCGTACCGGAGCGCAGGCGTGTTCGAGCGTTGGGAAGAGCTGCGCGAGCAGGCGCAAGCCAAGGAGCAGCGCATGGTCACGCGGCTGCAGCAGTGGCGGCAGCTGGACGCGCAGGCGCACGAGCTGGCGCTGTGGTTGGACGGAGCGCAGGCCACACTCGGCCAATGCCGTGCCTCCACAGCTGCTCACTCCCCACAGCTGTCCGCCTTGCAGCTGTCGCTGTCACAACTGCGGGTAAGCACGCCGTGCCTTTCACGTCGCTTCGTGTTCACTGTACATGGAGACTCGACCAAAACAACAACAACAACAGGTGTTATCTTGCTCTTATAAGCCTCGTCGTTATCAGCAGCATCAGTGATCTATCTACTGCTGGATGAAGCTTCCCCAAGACATGTCAATCTCTCGTGGTCTTGTGAAGCAGCGATTTATCTATCTGCTGCACACGAGCCGATCTCAGCTCCCATTCTATTGCCAATAGGCATGCATTGATTAAAGTCAATTATTACACTTATGATACATGCATTGAGATCATGCATATACAAGTCACTTAAACATCACAAATGAGACTAACAATGAAGACAAATCGTCTATATTCAAGGTGTTGTTGCATTGTCCAAAATGCGATTGTCTTCGGAAGTATTAATTAGAGATATTACCGTTATCTTCCGAGCCGTATGAGAGAACCTCACACGGTACATGGCGTGATGTCCTCTCGCACAGATCTAATGCGTTAACGCTTTCAACCACACTTAAAAAAATATTGTGAAGAAAACGAGATGCAAAAGAACTTGCATGGAATCATCGTCCTCTCAAAACATGACAATTCAACGGTCCGTCGAGTCACTTGATTGGGAGGTGTTGTTTTTTTTTTGTTGCGCGTGGTGTGCAGGAACTCCAGGAGGACGCGGAGTCACGCCGTCCCCTCGTGCTGTCGCTCGCGCTGGGCGCGCGGGAGCTGGAGAGCTCGTGCGGCGACGGGGAGGAGGAGGAGGAGGAGAACGACGACTCGTGGTCGAGCACGGACAGCGAGGCAGAGAGCACGGCGGCGGCGGCGGCGGCCAGGGTCTGCGTGCCGGGCGTCCGCCCGACGGCTGGGCAAACCCTTCTCCAGCTCCTGCCCGACGTCCTGTGCAGGTGGAAGAGGGTGAATGGCAGCCTTGAGGAGCTGGAGCGCACGCTGTTTGACAACATCAGCAACATCCAAGCAAGTCGTGAGGTGCGTTTGGGGCCGGCATTTGCAAAGATAAGAAAATGTCACCGTTGTGAGACGGATGTTAACGATGATTCTGGGAAGGGCCATTTAAATTGTTTCCTTGCTTAAGGAAGCCATTGGGCTGCGTTTATGTATGTTGGTCGTCTGATGTGCCATCATCAGCCATGGCCTATCCATAGCTGCATAATACTTCCCACACTCTCATCTACCCTTCTTGGGCCCCCGATGCTACAATTCGTAATCCATCGCGCTCCTGCAAGATGAATCTCACCGCTACATCAACTTGGTGGTTTTCCTCTTGGATATGTTCCATTCTTTGGTTGCCTTCCATCACACGCCTTGTCCATTGGCCAATTTCCCTTCTAGTGATGTGTTGTGCCTGAGATGACGTCGGATGTGGAGATGGAGCGATGAACACTCATGTGCTTGTGTTTGAATTTTTGTATCACACAACTGTAAGAAATGCTAACGGCTTTTCAGGACTTGTATTAACTATTCCAATAATTATTATAATACGTATTACTTTATCCAGCAGTGGATTATGGTTGATGATTTTCAAAGAAAAAAATTGGCATCGTGCCACGATTTGAAGTTGATTTTTCATGATTTATCTGAAATTTTTATAGTCCTCATAATTTTGCTCCAGCAACTGCTTATTTCATGATGTTCACAGTAATTGCATCTTATCACAGAGCTCTCTCCCTAGCAGTATTCACTTGTGATGCCTGGAACCACCATCCCGTCATCTGAAAAGTGATTTGATTCCTGTAATACACGAGTAGCTATAGAGATCCGCTTAAAATCCCTCTACATAGTTTTTAGATGGTATTCTTCACGTGTTATGGTTCCATCCCGCTCACTGCCAGCTGCCATTTGTGAATTACCTTTCATCAGTCTATGTTTTACTGCTTCGATGCTCCTACTTTTGCCTGAGCCACTGGTGGCACTGTTTTATTTCCATGGCGGTAGCCATTGTGTCTTTTGGACAACCACTGTTGACTTTATGTGCTCATTTTATCCAACCTAGAATAAATGTAGCAGTCTGTGGAATAACTTTAATTAAAAAAACACAATGGAAATAATTGTATTGTCGGTTGTTTTCTTAACAGATGAAAAGAGACAGGGACAGCCATCCACCAGTGAATATCGATCATCCAGTTCACAGGTATTATTCACTCTCGCCGCTACTATGCAATAAAAAATTAAACCATTAAATGTAACGTAGTCATGCTATTGCTCTTTTTAAATTAGATGTCCTGTGCTAATGTTACAATTAGAAAATGTCTTCCTATTATTGATACAAAATATTAACTGAATAACATTGAGAGATGAAAAAATTCGATCATTATGTATCCTCAAGATCGCATTCCCCTAATTTTATTATCATGGCATGTAACGATGCATCCGTGCATTGATTTTAATAATTTCTTACAGTCAATGTGAAGCATGTACTGATACATTCCGTATCGCGACCTACGTAATCGTGGTTGTAACTAAGATTTGTATCTTAAAACATCTATACCATGGCAGGACGCCCAAAAAATAGGCCCTAACAGTTAATTGGCTCTTCCTGCTGAAAGAAATATAATCTAAATCCATGATACCTGTACTGAATTGTGTACGATAATTGTTTAGTGCTTATGCAACCGTACACAAATAACATGTCAAATGTCACATTTCGGCTAAAGGAGCACAAAGAAACTTTACAGGCAATACAGAAAATTGCAAAAAATGTAAATGAGATAAAGATCAAATCATGACGGTTCACCGATCGTTCCATACCTATTTTCTTGCAGTGAATGCCTCTGCGTGTTGCGAGATGCGCTAAATGGCGATTTGTGTCTGGACGTGTCAATGCCTCCGGTTCTCGGCAGTCTCCCCAGCGGAAGCAACGCTGCGGAACGGGGGGCGGCAGCGGCGCAGAGCTTGGCCCCGGCTCGGAGCGCAGCGAAGGAGACGCCGGGGTCATTTGCGCGGCGCGTCGTGTTCGCTTCGCTGCCCTTCCAGCTGATGCTGCTCTTCACGTTGCTCCTGCTCGTGTGCCTGATGCCCTCCACGGAGGAGCATCCGATCTGCGCCCACGTGAACAACTTCGCCAGGTCCTTCCACCCAATGCTCATTTATACGAACGGGCCACCTCCAACGTGACACGGCCCCTTTGCGCAGATGGAAACGCGCACACGCACAGGCGTCATCGTTCAAGCATTGTCTCAAGCAGCGTCGGCACCTGTTATGCAGTGATCGGTCAGGCTGGGATCTGGGAGTGGTGGCAGTGGGGGGTACAAACTAAATAAAATATTTTAGTTTCTGTTTAGATAGCAACAAATCTGACAGTTTTCAGTCCAATTCAAACGGTGCATCCCTGAACATCACACAGGAAAACGGAAGCATCACATACTGTGCATCAACTTAAAGCATGACTGTTTCACTATATATGCAATAAACCTGCCTAGTAATTTTTGTTCCAATATGCAAGCACTGGTCGCATGTTGTCTTAATCTACAAACTCACGAATGAGCAACATTTCCTAACTATTAGGCCTGCAATGTCTGTAAGAGGAGATTGGCATCAAGGCTTCATTGCATTTTCAGATACATTATTCAACAATAAAGAAATATTTTGTGCGACTTGTTGGCCACTCGGTAAACTTGCGCGTTCTTCAGTGCACTCTACAATGTACGTCGAGCTCATGCGAAGCCACACTCAACAATCGCAGGTGAAGTGCCAATCCACACCAGGCGTAAGTACAAAGGTGAGCACACCACCCTCATCGGATTGCTTCGTGACACACTGAGGAGACTTACACTCGGTAAGGCCTCAATTATTTCGCAATTTAATTTATAAAGAACCGTGTGGAGTGGAGCCAGTGGTTTCTTGTTTTCATTTTCAGTTCGAATCCTTGTCCATAGATGAAAGCAAAAATGTTTTAACACACGCACAAACTCCATTTGGTTCATTTTCTTTTAATGCAACACTGTAAAAACTGTCACCAGAAATTCTGACTGCAGACGGCCAATTTATAACATCACCAAATGCAGCAGCGGCTTTGTGGTGTCCACGCAGCCTCGCAACTGCAGCCGCCTTCTCTTACGACCAACAGTCGACACCAGGAACGGCAGTAATTTAGAATGGCATCTACCATTGCCGTATTCTAAATCTGTAATTTAAAACTACGCCACATGCCTTTATCTTGTGAGGGACCTGCAGAAATTACGGGCAGCAGTCACGAAGAGTTGGAATGAGGTTGAAAACTGCGTTTTAGTCACGAACGTTAAGCCCGGTTTATATTGGTGGCCACTGACTGCTCCTCCAGGAATTTGATCTCTTATCAGAATGTGTATTTATCCTGGAGGAATCCAATGACCTGGAAGCTCTTCTTCACGGCGGGTCAGCAGGAATCTAAAAAAAATCCACACAGGCTCCCCCCAGGGCATCATTGAAATACACAATACCCCATCACGTGATCTCTGAGCAATTTTATCAAGGAGAACTCTGAGCCCAAGTACTATACAGCTCGACCCAATTCGGGAGCCCAATTCAAACACTTTGGGTCTCAGGCCAACAATCTAAAACACTGATAAAATGACAGCTCCTAGGTCACATGACAGGGCTGGCTAAATTGTGATGATGCCCTTGGGGAGGCTGTTATTAATTATTTATACGTGGCGTGGGTTAGAGTTGACAAGTCTGGAGGAGGAGCGTCTTGGCAGGCAGTGTAAAACTCTCACAAAGCAAAGCCCATGTTCTCATTAAATCAGCCAAGGTCTACTGTTTTAACTTGAGATCCATCTTATTTAAATATTCTTTGGGGGTTACATTAACATTTTTAATTACTCATGAGATGACTTTGTTTTAAAAATATGTTCGTATTGTGTGATTTGATTGAGTGGGTTTTTTCTTCTACATAGCCAGTCATTAAGCCAAGTAAATCAATTGTTAGGTGAACACACCGCTACAACTCAGAATGGGCTCAAACGTGCAACGCATGACGTTACAATTGATGCATCTGCCACCCTCGCTCTAATCCCCTCCTCCTGGTTTGCGAAATGTGCCACGGCTGCGTTGACCCCCAACATGGTGCTCGTACAAAAGGCAGTCTGTACGCTTGCAGTTGTGCCTCCTCTTAAAGCACAACAGCCTTTGCATGTGTAAAACACTCACGGTTTTAATAACGCTGACATTGTACACTGTTAAAACGCGCCTGTGTATGTATTTGTATAGATATTTATAAAACCATACCGTAGCCTGTATATAACTGATGACCAATACTTGTGTTTTTTCATTTCAGTATTATCAGCATTATACAAATTGAAGATATACGCAAATTGTTGTAGTTATGGGATAATTAGTTTTGTAACTTTAATACAACAATTCCAATCAACACTGGATCGTAACAATTCTGAAAACCAATTTCTGTAAACGTTTGCTTCCCTGATTGAGGGTACTAAACAATGAATCGGAATGTTTCAAGATGTTTGTCTTTGTTCACCAGGCTCTTTTGAGCTGTTAGGGCATCAGAATTTTGGAGCATGGCCCTTGTGTGGCGTTTTGCATCACTAGCTCATCTCATACACCGGCTGTCCTCTGCAAGTCACATTTATTTGTGCTGTAAATGTGTTGATATTTTTTTTAAATAAATGCTGTGTACATAATGCACATGAAGGAGTACGCGTACGCCATCATGAATAACATTATTTTTTGGGTGAGCGCTTTTGGATAATGAGGATTGCAGAAGGACTTGTTCTCATGAATGAACATGGTGTCTGCCTGGTGATGAGCATTAGCGTCTGTGGACAGCAGGTGAATACCATGTGTTGTGCAAGAAACAAGTTAAGTTCTTGACATGAGGGCAGATCTCAACTCCATTCCTCAGCTGCCATCGACACAATGCAGCATTTCTCTTCGTCCAGCCTTCTGCATTTATCCTGTACTATATATACCGTATGGTGTACTGTAGATTATCATCCGTGTTTTTTTAAATTAAATGTTAATTTCCAATGCCTGTTGATTGGCACGTGAGAAAAGCCACAGTGTGGTGGATCCCAAAGGCTTGGATTTGGTGTTGAGAAGTGCTCACCTCCATCATTGTGAAGACGCAGTGGAAAGCTGTGACAACTGGAGGTCTAAGTGATGACACATGGGAGATCACCACGTGGGAGTGAGGAGCATGCTCTTCACCATGAACAATAGATTTTGTTTTGATGTATTTGTGTGTCAATGGTAGCTCAAGTCTAATGGATAACTTTTTCTACGTGTGCACATTTGTGAAAATCGCACTTGTCTTTGGGCTGTAAAATTAATTGCTGCAATAAGGTACTGTTTAAGTGTGCGTACTTCATGGCTGTTGGTAAGCCGCTTGTAGTGATTTGGTAAATGAATAACATACAACTTTAATATCCATTGGATATACCTTAACTGGGTCTAATATAAATCCCGTAGACATTTTTGAAATGACTGCAAATTTATTCAAAGCTATTTAATGAGTTGAAGGACTGTAATGAGAATCGTTTCTCAGACATATACTATACCTTTGTAAAAACACTTTGCTATGTTTATTAGTGATTAGCTGATTGTGGTTGGCCCAGGCTGAAGAATGTTGAACACTAAACACATGGCTCAGAATAAGCAGATAATAGAATGTGTTTATAAGGTTCATAATATCAGTGTTATAAATTATGAGCTTTCGCCCTGGTGAGAGATACCAACCTTAAATTTATTTTCCATGTATTGAAAGCTGTGGAAATCAATCAGAAATAAACCGATTAGCGACTTTAATTGAATTCATATTACTTCCAAGTGTAATGACAAATACAGTTCCAGTTTTGTTGGAAATAGTTACATGAACCAAGTACCGTAACCAGGGTGATGTTTGCTTCACAGTAAAGTTGGGAATGTGAACCTTGAAGCTTTTTAATTGCAAAGTGTTTGACATGACATTTATTGAAAGCCAAAGGTTGAATTACATCTGTGGTTCATGGGTTTTCACTTTTCCCATGGAAGTTCTAGCATTAAGCCTTTTTGTTGCTGCCAGTCCTTGAGTTGAACATTCTTTTTTGTTCGTGAAGTCACGTGAAGGTATTTTATGGCAAGAGGTCGAGTGGCACCTCATAAATGGGACCCCCATTACGTGACACACGAGAATGTGAAAATGTTTTGATGAGCAAATCACTCTGTGAAAATCCTTGTTCTGTGAAAGTACTGTCATGTTAATTGTGATGGAAGCAAAGAAAGCACATGAAAAACATGCATTGGTTCTGATGAGTTTAATTTGTTCATAGGTAAAAAGAACGGTTCTGATTTATTGCGTTTCAGTTCCTCTGCAATGGTCACGTTAGTATGAAGCACAACAGCTGTACATAGGTCCACACCAGCCCACTCAGAGCCAGGTCTTGACGTGCACTACCAGCCCTGTGCCTTTTAGAATGATGGCCACTCATTAGGTGAGCTGCACAAATTCCAGTCGAGCCATGGACTCATTACAGTACAGTACTCTAGTTTGGTTTTCTATAATCCCATGTGCACTGCTGGCTCATGGCCCAGCTCTCCATTGTGCCCATCATGGCCAAGCTTCAAAGTCCACCTCCCCACTGAAAAGTCAAATTAAAACAATATCATCCTAAATAAGCAAAGGCATTGCAGGCAGGAGTGAGCAAACGATTTTGCCTACATGTACTGTATGAGTATGCATCCCAATATGTCCTAGCTTTAGGCCCAATGTTGACCTGAATTCAGGCACATTTACAATAATTATTTGTAGAAGTGGTGTACCATAGCTTTTTCCTAAATTTACGATACAAGACCTGGTGCTATTTTCCACCAAAATTAGAAAAAAAATGTATTTAGTTTTCTGCTTATTCTGACCTGAATATAAAAGTGTTATGAAAAATGTGAGATTTATACAGGTTGTAGAACACGGTACAATTAGCCAAACAAGTGTTTTTAGACACTGTAATTCTACTGACGTGTAATGTTTTTTTAGGGAAATGTTTCCGATGTATTTTTTTGTAAATGGTTCCAAAGAGATTGCAATGTACTGTATGAGATGTCTGCACTTTGTGATAAAAATTAATTAGCAGCAACTTCCTGTTGTGCGTCTTATCTATTGGTGGTGCCTATATAATACATAGTAAAATCAAATAAATCCATCACATTATCTTTAACATCTGCTTTCGTGTAGCGGATGCTGTTGGTGGACCGTTTACGCTCATCTGCTCGTAAAATTCAAGATATCTACAGTTTCCTGTGCATAATGGAATGAAAGTGCCACCGCGGCAAGGTGAGCCGTCTTTTACTTGAACGTATGCGGAGAATAGCGTGAATTTAGCACTTGTGTGAGGCCACGACTTGTGCGGGTGACTTCTCTGATCCGCGTATATACACGGATAATACGAATGTGTAGATAACAAGCGTGGGTCAATTGAGGACATGGATAATACTGTATGCTACTAGCAGATAATATGGCTGTGTCGCTTTTGGGAAATATGAACGTTTTTCTTTCATCTTACAATGTAAAAAATATTGGACCAGAATTGTGTAGCCTTCTAAGGCATTGATTGAAGACAAACACTTTTTTTGAGATGGGACTTGTGAATTGCTGCTGGCTGCTTAACAGTTTGGCCTTGTGCTCAGCAACTGCAATAATAATGTATCACTAGAATAAAAGTATACACGATAATTATTCAAATTCTGCACAATTTTAGAGAACATTTCCCCAATTCAAGAAACATTAGAATTTCCTATTCTTAGCTCTTTCGGTAAAGTCACGTTGAAGGGAAACAATAAAATAATAAAAAATATATAAAAACAATAAAAATTCTCACGACGTTTCGACCATAACACACCTGATGATGACCGTTTGTGTTATGGTCGAAACGTGAGAATTTTTATTGTTATATATATTTTATTATTTTATTGTTTCCCTTCAACGTGACTTTACCGAAAGAGCTAAGAATATGAATTACTGCAGTCACGAAAGCTTTAAATCGAGATGGTCATGTATTCTAGATTTGAAGCTTTCGTGACTGCAAGGATCCATACTCTTTGGTTCTATTCGGTAAAGTCACGTAGGTGAGTTGTTTAAATTTTTTACCTACGTGACTTTACCGAATAGAACCAAAGAAGATGGGCATGGACCAGATTGCGTTTTCAAATGCGCGGCGAGTGAAGGTGAAGCTTAGTCGTGACGTCACACAACTGTTGAATATTTTCATGTACCAGATTGCGTTTTCAAACGAGTGGCGAGTGGTGAAACTTAGTCGTGACGTCACGCAACTGGTGAATGATGTCATGCGCCAGATTGATTTCAAATGCGCGTCGAGTGATGGTGAAGCTTTGTAGTGACGTCACGTAATTGGTCCACTGCTGGATGAAGACCTATTCTTTGGTTCTTTCGGTAAAGTCACGTAGATAGAAAAATAATTATAAAAAATAAAGTGAATGCAAATAAAAACGATACAAATAAAACAATAAAATTCTTCACCTGAATAATTTTTATTGTTTTATATATATTTTATTATTTGATTGTTTCCCTTCAACGTGACTTTACCGAAAGAGCTAAGAATAAGGCTACTTGTGTTGTGGCCGAAACGTCGTGAGAATTTTATTGTTTTATTTTATAATTTTATTTTCTTCTTTGGTTCGTTCGGTAAAGTCACGTAGAATGAGAATAAAATAATAAATTAATAAAATAACACAATAAAATTCTCACGACGTTTCGGCCACAACACAAGTGGCCTTCATCAGGTGAAGGGACGAGACTGTCTGGAAAGAACCAAAGAAGATGAATCCTTGCAGTCACGAAAGCTTTAAGTCGAAATTTATTTTATTCTCATTCTACGTGACTTTACCGAAAGAACCAAAGAAGATGAATCCTTGCAGTCACGAAAGCTTTAAATCGAAAGATACAAATAAATTTATAATAAAAAAACTAAAACACATTAACGTAGACTGTAGCCTGCTTCTTAATCGGAGTGAATGTACTGGCAGTCTATGATGTAGACTGTAGCCTGATGATTAAGTTTGGTGAGTGTACTGGCAGTCTATAGTGTAGACTGTAGTAATGGTTAAGCTGGGTGAGTGTACTGGCAGTCTATAATGTAGACTGTAGCCTGATGATTAAGTTTGGTGAGTGTACTGGCAGTCTATAATGTAGACTGTAGCCTGTTTTTAAGCTTCAATGAATTGGTGAGCGTATTGGCAGTCTATAATCTGGTACATGACTTATTCTTGGTTCTTTCAGTAATAAAAACATAAAATAAAAAGTAATACAAAATGTAGATAAAAATAACTCGCTTCATTTTTATTAAATTATTTTCATATCTACGTGACTTTACCGAAGGAAACAAATAATATGAATTCCTGCAGGCACGAAAGTTAAGTCAAAATTTGGATGAAGACCTATCCACAAATCGAGTTGTTTGACCATACTTCACCACAATGGTCTATGCGGGTTGGCAAATGGGGCGGATAAGTGAAGATAGCAGAAGATAAGTACATAATATAAGAGACGTTAGCTATCACTTGCCGCTCATTCTAGGTCTTCATCCAGCAGTGAAAAACCAAGGCTGGTAATATTGAACTTGGTTAAGTTGCGCCAGACATTTTCCAGCTTGGCTGTTCAGAGTATATAGCGAAAACACTGATATTTTTCTATTGAAAATAATCTGCTTTAGTGAGGTAATTTCTTAAGAGGTTTAGTATTTATTTACAGTACTAAAATAAAGATCGCGGTGTAGCCCGTACAACAGAATCCATCGTTGTTACCGCATTTCTATGGCCGCCGCGTCAAAACACGCAGTGTATTTTGCCCGTCATCGATGACCAATCGGAAGTCTCTGATGTCGGCCCTTCACAGGGCGCATTTTGATTGGCCGTTTTTGAATTTCCCGCCGATGGCCGAACCAATCAGCGCGCTGAGCTCGCTACGCACGTGGCCTGCAATTGTTTAGGACACTTGATGTGAAATGGAAATTGTAATTTTTATTTTTTGATTTAAAGCTTTCGTGACTGCAGTAATTCATATTCTTAGCTCTTTCGGTAAAGTCACGTTGAAGGGAAACAATAAAAACATAAAAAATATATAAAACAATAAAAATTATCACGACGTTTCGACCATAACACAAACGGTCGTCATCAGGTGTGTCGGTCCGCATTAATTTATTTATTTTTTAACGGTGTATTTATTTATAATAAAAAAAACGTCAGCGCCATGCGCAGCGATTTGGCAGTTTATTTAGAAGGACGAGTCCATCTATGTTCTGAAAAGAGGAGGGGGGAGACAAAAAAATTAATGTATGCTGTCTGAAAGCCACTGTAAGCGTGAACAATCAATTAAGACCTGAAATGGTTAATCAAATCTTTCCAATGATTGCTAAGCCAGAATCCATCTTCTCGGTTGAAATTGTCTCTGTGCTTGTATATGTGGATAGCCTCATGAACTAATCTCTCATGGTAGCCAGATGGCTTACAAAGAACCTCTGTCTTGGAAAAGTCAATGTCATGTGAGCCTACAGAATTATAACAATGACCTGCCACGGCCGAGGTGTTGGTCCTACCGTGTTTAAGGTCTGCTTTTGTGTTCACGAATGCGGTCCGAGACATGGCGTTTGGTTTCTCCACTGGAAAAAACACCTCTGCGGTACAAAATTCTACTCACCTGGTATCGACAATCAAGGGTATTTCCCTGTCCCCAGACGACCTGCTTGTCAGTTTTGATGTAGTTTCCTTATTCACCAAGGTTCCTGTACCTGACACCATCGCAATCATTGAAGACTTGGTTCATCAAGGACTAAACACTGAGGTACCTCCCCTGGTGAGACAGTTTAACCAATACATACTTCACTTGGAATGGAACTTTCTACAAACAAACTGAGGGCACCCAATGGGTTCCCCCCTATCTCCGGTTATAGCTAACATTTTCATGGAGAAATTTGAGACTGACGCCATCCAGACTGCCACTCTGGGCCCAACCTTATGGAAGAGGTACGTGGATGACACTTTTGTCATCTGGCCACCTGGCCGGCCTGCTCTAGACCAATTCTTCGACCACATCAATTCCATACACCCAGCCATCAGATTTACCATGGAAGTCGAAAAAGATGGCAAGCTACCTTTTTTGGATGTCCTAATAAAAAAAAGACCTGATGGTTCAATGAGCCACTGTCTACAGGAAAGCTACCCATACGGATGCTTATCTGAAACCGGATTCCCACCACCATCCATCACAGAAGAATTCTCTCATCAAGACTCTGTACCATAGAGCCCAATGCATATCCGACCAGGAACACATAGGCAGTGAACTCAAGCACGTACACCAAGCTCTTAAGGCTAATGGTTACTCCGACTATACAATCCGCAAAGCTATCACTCAAACCATGAAGAAGGACCCTCTTGAGGAGCCTTTCAAAACCATCACTTTACCCTACATTGCGGGGATCACAAAAAAGATCTCCAAAATCTTGAATAAACACAAGCTCCAGGTCCGTTTCAACACATTACATAAAATCCGTGATCTGGTTCCGTCTGTAAAAGATGTGATTCCGTACATACAGTAACCCTGGTGTCTACAAACTAAGTTGCCTCTGTGGTAGTAGTTACATTGGAGAAGCCAAACGCCATGTCTCGGACCGCTTTCGTGAACACAAAGCAGACCTTAAACACGGTAGGACCAACACCTCGGCCGTGGCAGATCACTGTTATAATTCAGTAGGCTCACATGACATTGACTTCTCCAAGACAGAGATTCTTTGTAAGCCATCTGGCTACCATGAGAGATTCGTTCATGAGGCTATCCACATATACAAGCACAGAGACAAGTTCAACCGAGAAGATGGATTCTGGCTTAGCAATCATTGGAAAGATTTGATAAACCATTTCAGGTCTTAATTGATTGTTCACGCTTACGGTGGCTTTCAGACAGCATGCATTAATTTTTCGTCTCCCCCCTCCTCTTTTCAGAACATAGATGGACTAGTCCTTCTAAACAAACTGCCAAATCGCTGCGCGTGGCGCTGACGGTTTTTTATAAATAAATAAACAGTTACAAAATAAATAAATGCAAACCGACACGCCTGATGACGAC